TCCTTCTCAAGGGGGGACACCTGCCTTTGAGACGACTGCCAGAGGTTCTTCATCGCCAGTGCCTTCGAATATTTTGGATTTGAATCTCAGTGATTTTCACATTGATAGTGATGCTTTTGGTCTTTCCCCTTATCGTTCGGCATTCTCAGGTTCGGGACCTCTGCCGGGAGTTACCCCTCCGGGTGGTTCATCTAACCCGATAGACATTGGGGAGATTCCTGAGACTAGCAGCTTTCCGGCCCCAATTCCTCCTTCAGCTTCTGGCAAAGTATCATTTCTCCATTATTGGGTAGCTCCTGAGTTTGCTTCAGTTCTACAGCTTGTGCATTCAAGTTACCCGGAGACCTTTGCTTCATTTGCTTGCCAGTGTCCACTCATTCAGACTGCTCTTCTCGAGTCTTTTGCCACTATCTTATATAGCTTGGACAGGCAACGGTTGTGTGACCTTAATGGGAAAGTAGTCGAGACGGCGTATCAGGGGATCTCTGACATGGAGCGTCACCAAGTGGACTTATCATGGCTTCGGAAGCGCCTGGATATAGCTTCGAACGCCAGTCATCGGCTGGAACTTATGTCTGTGCTTGCTTCTTATCGCACCTCTATAGATGAGATAAAGGCAACTCTTCGTGAACTTGAGTCGGGTTATGCTCGGGCCTTGGAGACTTTAGAGGCACACTCTACTGTTTGTCCTCCAGATGGAGACTTTAGGAAGGATTGAGTTTTTTTTTATCATTACTTTCTTGCCCCTTTCGATAAAAATGTTTTATCTAGGACAATGCAATGAAATGACAAAATTTTTGTTGTTTGGATATTTTCGCATTGTTTTCTCATTCTACTTGATAAAATATTTATTTCGAATGATAGAACAATCATATGCACATGTTTATAAAAGCTGAAATATTCTCATTAGTTCTTCAACTTTCTTGACGAAAGTATAATAGATTCACTGTAAGTGATGGGATAAAACATGCACCATAGAGAAAACCAGCTTCTTCATAACGTAAGGGAAATACAACTTTTAGACAAAGTAAGAAAGTGAAAATGAATTTCAACATAGATGAGTCCAATTATGGGTAGTAATGCTTGATAAACTTTGCATTGAGCGGGCCAGTTCGGAAGCCGTCTTCAACCCTTACAAGTTTGTAGTACCCGCTTGAGCTTGCCTGAACCACCTTGTAGGGCCCTTCCCATTTTGGAGAAAACTTGGGTAAAGGCTGTCCTCGCATGATTGGGTCTACAATCTTCCATACTAGATCACCTTCTTCAAACTTCCTTGGTATCACAGTCTGGTTATAGGCTCGGGGGATGGACTCATGATACCTTTCCATGACTTTTGTAGCTCTGTCATGCTTTTCCTCTAATGCTTCCAATCTGGTGGTTCGAGGCTCCAATACCATCCCTGAGGCGAGAGCCATTCGAGCGGATGGCGTTTCCAACTCTATAGGTAACACTGCCTCGGACCCATACACAAGGGAGTAAGGAGTTGCTTGAGTTGGCTTTCTCTTCGAAGTGCGATACGCCCACAGGGTTACTATCAACTGTTCGGACCAAGTCCCCCCAAACTCATCCATCATCTTGCTCAGAATCCTTATCAGTGTCTTGTTTGTGGCTTCCGCTTGCCCGTTCCCTTTTGGATAGTAGGGTGTGGATTTGTGATGCTTCACTTGGTAAGTCTCTAGGAGGCTCTTTAGAGTAGCGCGAGTCATAATGTTGATAGAGGCTCCACTGTTTAGAAAGGCCCTTTTGAACTCAACCTCGTTAATAAAAGCAGTCATATAAAGCGGGCAGTTGTGAGAAAAGGGATACTTTCGATCAATCTCGGAGAAAGTAATGGCACTAGATTGCTCTTTTGCCTTCCTCGGGATAGATCCCTCAGTCGACATGCATTCCTCATGGTGTGCCTCGGCTATATTGATGATAGCCTTGGTGATTTCTGTTCTTGCCTCCCTGGAAAGTCTAAGCTGGTCGAAGAATTGCTTGAACTTTACAGTCTTGCAAGGTTTTGGCATAGTGATCCAGATCTTTCTCCACTCTTCGAGGCTCGTAGTTAACCATCTCCTTGGTTTCTTCAAAATAAGATGCCACATAAACATGATGTCCTCCTCTTCCATAGTACATTTCTCCTCTTTCTGGATCAAAGGGACCTTCGACATGAGTCATGAAGGCTCTGCCCTCTAGATCGAGAGCACTTCTATAGTAAACTTGCTCACCCTCGGGCTCGAAGATGTCGTCCAGATAACAATCATCATCATCAAGATTGGTGATAGCCTCAATCATCGGGCCTTCATAAGCTATCATAGCAACATTCTTGCCTTTGTCTCAATGTTGAGAATATAGTTGTTCTCGAATGTCTTGCATTGATGATATGGTCGGACTGTATGTTGAACCAGTGTGCTTAATGTGTCTGTATAGGTTAAGGAGCCAACTGTGAGTAACAATGTTGTAAAGATATATTTAAATTATAATGGTTTTCTGAATGTTATTCTTAAGTACTGTTTCTGAAACAATATGAATTATTGAACGAATGATTGTCCTATTTTATAAACTGTATTCGTGGCATCCATAACTTACTACTACTGTTACTGCTACTATTTACTGTTACTGTTACTGTTACAGAGATCTCTGTCAGTTCCAATTCTTGGAACTATTGTTACTGTATTTATGGCCATCAAATGACTGTTAGGTCTTTATGACCTACTGTACTGTTCTGCTATTGGATATACTACGTATGACTGATATAAGTTTATTAAATGTATGAGATACTGCTTTGTGAATTGCTTTATTATTGAAACTGACTACTTTAAATGACTGAAAAGACATCATTCATAACCTCTTTACACAATTGTTATTCACTGGGCTTTAGCTCATTGTTTTATATATGTATGTAGGTGACCAAGTTCAGGACCGGACCTAATGGCGTCGACCTACCCTCTGTTTTGTGAAGCCAACTGTTGTGCCTCCCTTTGAGGTTCCTTTTGGACTAAATCCAAGGCTTTTCGGGTGGTGCTGAGGACACCCTTTTGTCATTGTGTTTATGTTATGGTTTGGCTTATATCTTTTATCTTGACTGGGTTTTGTTAACGGGATTAAATTCCCTAAATTGTGTAAATGTTTTGTACATATACTTGAGATGGATCTTGTATACAATTGTATATAATCTATGAAGTTGTTTTGTTTCATGTAAGTCCCACAACTCATTGAACGATTTTACTTTAATATTGTTAGCTTCCGCCAACCCCTATTACTGTTTATTGTTAAAGCAGGCCTTTGGTAATCTCGGATTGCTGGCCGGTTACGTCTCTAATCCATGGGGTGAGGATTGTGTTGTGACGGAATGGTATTAGAGCACGAGTTATACCACACACACATGTCCAAAAAGAAAATAAGGCATTACATGAACATGTGTGGGTGTGTGTGGACTTGTGATGTGCATTTGTAATGTCAATGTGCATCTCTAATGTAAATATACCTGAAAAACTACAATTCCTATGTTTATTATTACCCTGTTTACATATAGACCGATGGAGAATGCAAGATATACAGATGAATCTAAATTGTCGGATGCAAGAATTGACCGATTGAAAAGAATGGTTGAGTTATTGACAGAATCCTTGAGACAACAACAAAGACAACCATTTCTATCTCCTCCTCAGCTACCATTCCTAATTGAGCCACACAACAATGATGATATCATTGCCCTGACACCAAAATTTATTGAAATGAAGCCACCAACCTTTCAGGGAGGTCTCGACCCTTTGAAAGTCGAAGCTTGGATTTTGGAAATAGAAAAGTTGTTCGAAGTGTTTCCATGTTCAAAGGTACAAAAGGTGTTATTAGCCACCTTTACTTTACAAGAAGAGGCAAGACGATGGTGGGTGCTTGTCCGAAAGAGCAATGGTTCTATGACATGGGCTCAATTTAAGGAGGGTTTTTATGAAAAATATTTTTCCCGGTGTGTCTGTGACCGTAAAGTGTCAAAGTTTGAGCAGTTAAAGTAGGGCACTATGTCTGTGGCTAAATATGAGACTAAATTCACAGAGCTCTCTGGGTATGCACCGCAAATGGTAGATACTGATTATAAGAAAGCTAGATGTTCTTAAACTAACAATGTAGATGTTCTTGATCGCGCTCTCATGTCCAAGGCTAACATTGCAGCACTTAAGCAAGCCAAGATGCTGGTGAATGAATGGAAGGAAAAAAGACAAGCGTTCAATTTTAAGAAGGGTAGGAACAATTCACAGAATAAGAAACAAAATACGGCGTCTTCGACTAGCTCCAGCCAAGAGACTGATTCTCTACCACCATGTACAGAATATGGAAGAAGACATAAAGGAGTTTGTTATAAAATTTTTGGGCTAGTTTCTAATGTGGCAAAACGGGCCACATAGTTAAAGACTGTCCTCTTTTACCCCAAGGCACAAGCAAACCCTTAGCAAGTTCAGTGGCATCAGCCTCTACACCGAAATCTAACCCTAAAGTGATGTCAGGGAAAGAAACATTGAAGCAAGGTCGGGTTTTCTCTCTTGTACTGGAAGATGTCCAGAATACGGAGACAGTAGTGTTAGGTATACTCCCTATCTGTGCCCAGAATGCTTATGTTTTGATTGATTCAAGGGTTACACACTCTTTTGTATCATATGCTTTTTCTCAAAAATTAACTAGACCACTGGAACCGAAGAATTATCTGTTAGCTATGTCTTCACCCATTGGAGGGTCTTTGACTTGTGCATATATATATCTTGCGTGTGAACTTGTTGTTGGGGATATGATTTTATATGTTAATTTGTTACCACTAAACATTGATCATTGTGACGTAATTTTGGAAATGGACTGGTTATCGAAATACCGTGCGACTATTGACTGCGTAACTAAACAAGTTGTTTTCCATCCACCTAACTTGCCTGAATTTACGTTTAGTGGATTCGATGTTGTATCTCCCCCATAGTTGATTTCATCCATGAAGGCGAGTTAATTGCTTAGGAAAGGTTGTCGTGGGTATTTGTGTTATATACTGCATGTGCCTATTGTTGAGAAAACTAATGTGGATAATATTCCAATAGTTAGAGAATTCCCAGATGTATTTCCAGATGATTTGCTAGGGGATTTGATTGACAAGGAGATTGAGTTCACTATTAAGGTGATATCAGGTACACAACTAATTTCCAAAACTCTGTACCGAATATCAACTACTGAATTAAAAGAATTGATAATTCAATTACAAGAGCTGTTGCACAAAAAAATTATTAGGCCTAGTACGTCATCGCAGGGCGCTCCAGTCTTACTTGTGAATAAGAATGATGGGTCATTGAAGCTTTGTGTTGATTACCAAGAATTAAACAAGGTGACTGTGAAGAACAAGTACCCGTTATCACGCATTGATGATTTGTTTGACTAATTGTAAGGGGCACAAGTATTTCCTAAAATTGATCTTAAATCCGACTATCATTAGTTGAAAGTTAAAGTCGAAGATGTGGAAAAGACTGCCTTCCGAACAAGGTACGATCATTATGAATTTCTTGTTATGCCTTTCATGGTTACTAACGCACCAGCTATTTTCATGGATCTGATGAACAGAATTTTCATGTCGTTCCTAGATGAATTTGTTGTTGTTTTTATTGACGATATTTTGATTTATTCCAAACGTAAAGAGAAACATGAACACCACTTGAGACTTGTTTTGCAAACCTTGAGAGAGAAGAAATTATATGCTAAACTGTCTAAGTGTGAGTTTTGGCTTGATAGTGTTATGTTTTTGGGGCATGTAATAAAGAAAGATGGCATTTCAATTGATCCGCAGAAGATAGAAGCAGTTGTGACTTGGCCTAGACCAACCAATGTTACCGAAGTCCGAAGTTTCTTAGGTTTGGCCGGCTACTATCGCAGATTTGTGAAAGATTTCTCCAAAATTACTTTACCTCTTACACAATTGACACAAAAAGGACTACCATTCGAATGGACTGATCACAGAGAGTCAGCGTTCCAAGAATTAAAGACTTGACTTGTAACTGCACCAATTCTCACCTTACCCTCAGGTACAGATGGGTTTACTATTTTTAGTGATGCATCTTATAAAGGTTTGGAGTGTGTATTGATGTAGAATGGAAAAGTGATCGCTTATGCTTCCCGCCAACTGAGCCCGCATGAAAAAATTACCCGACTCATGATTTAGAGCTTGCCGCAGTGGTTTTTGCATTGAAGATTTGGTGCCACTATCTGTATAGGGCAACATGTGAAGTGTATACGGATCATAAGAGTCTCAAGTACTTTGTCACCGAAAAAGAGTTGAATATGAGACAACGTAGATGGTTGGAATTGGTTAAGGATTATGATTTGCAAATTTTATACCATCCAAGGGAAAGCTAATACTGTTACCGATGCCCTCAGTCGGAAATCAATTGGAAATTTGGCTTGTTTACTCACCAGACAGAAAGAACTGCTATGTGATCTTGAGAAATTTGAAGTTGAGATTGTTTTACAAGAACAAGGTGGGACATTGGCTACTATTTCTGCTCAATCGGCACTTATTGAGGAGATTAAAGAGAAACAACACCAAGATGACTTTTTGAAGAAGGTCATTGATGAACGGGAATCCAAACCAAGGCCGGACTTTAAATTCGAAAACAATGTATTGAAATTTCAGGGATGGTTGTGTGTGCCAAATGATTCTGAACTGAAAAGTCGAATTTTGCAGGAAAGCCACAATTCAAAACTTTCCATCCATCCAGGAAATACAAAAATGTACCAAGACTTGAAACTTAATTTCTGCTGGCCGAGAATGAAAAAAGAAATTGCCGAGTTTGTATCGAAATGTCTACATTGCCAACAAGTCAAAGCTGAACATCAACTACTCGCAGGCTTACTTCAGCCCTTACCAATACCGGAGTGGAAATGAGAACATATTACTATGGATTTCATTGTTAGATTGCCTCACTCCAGTAAAGGTATGGATTCAATTTGGGTTATTGTTGATCGATTGACTAAATCTGCTCACTTCTTACCTGTCAAAACAATTTATGATGCGGACAAATTGGCTACAATTTATATTGATGAGATTGTTAGATTGCATGGAGTGCTTGTGTCTATTGTTTCTGATAGGGACTCGAAGTTTACATCGAGATTCTGGCAAAGTCTGCAAATGGCATTAGGTACTGAATTGATGCTGAGTAGTGCATACCATCCTCAGACAGATGGCCAATCAGAAAGAACCATCCAGACTCTGGAAGATTTACTGCGTATGTGTGTTCTTGATTTCCAAGGAAATTGGGAAAGTCATTTACCTTTAGCTGAGTTCGCCTATAACAACAGTTATCACTCGAGTGTTGGTATGGCGCCTTTCGAGGCTTTATATAGCAGAAAATGTCGATCTCCTATTTGCTGGGCAGAAGTTGGAGACAGGCCTTTACTTGGGCCCGAGATTGTACACGAGACCACAGAAAATGTGAAACTAATTCAACAGAGATTGAAAACCGCACAAAGCCGACAGAAAAGTTACGCGGATGTACGAAGGCGAGACAAGGAATATGAAGTGGGTGATCATGCTTTTGTTAAAGTGACACCAATGAAAGGACAGACTCGTTTTGGGGCTAAGGGTAAGCTAGCACCGAGATATGTTGGGTCGTATGAAATCATTGAAAAGATTAATCCAGTCAACGTGAAAAAGGAGGATGATAGAAGAGAAGGTACCCGGATCTCTTTCCTTTAGACCCTACATTCTTCACAGAAGAAAGTACCTAAGTTTGAAGGACCAAACACCTTAAGGTGGAGAGAATGTAACAGCCACCACCTTAATTATGTGCTAAATTATGAGATTGCCTTAATTATGTGTTTTATGGGTTTTATGTTAACTTATGTGCCAATTGTTAATTGCCATGTGTTATTGTCTTGTGATTATATGAACAGATACATTGAGAATAGGAAATAAACCTGTCTGAATCAGTAAACCATAAGATTAAAATTAAATATTTGGGATAGACAACTAGAGCCTGATTCACAGTAGTATGGTTAAATTTAGTGTGTTTTGAAGTGGTATGAGATCAGAATGGAATTCGTTAAGTGCATTTGATTTATTAAACTAATTTGGGATTAATTAAAATTTTAATTCAACAATAAGAGAAAGATATAGAAATAGATATTTTGTAGAGATTTCAGAGAGAATTCCAGAGATGAGAGAGAGAGAGAGAGAGAGAGAGAGAGAGAGAGAATGCTAGAGAAAGCTTAAGAAGAGGAAAAGGTGTTTAAGCAAGGAAGGCTCCATAGATCATCCATCTAAGATAGGATCTCTCTCTTAATTCCTTAGATTTGAGTCTTCTACACTTTTATCCTCTTGAATTTAAGTTTGATTAGGAAGCAATCATGCATAATTGTGGGTTTGGTGGTGTAACTTCATGTGGTAACTCATAAGAGCATAAAAGGGAGAAATTGTAGGGAATAGCTCAAATTTGCAATAGATACTTGTTTTCTTCCATGGTTTTTGTGTTTGAAAGGATGAATTTTGAGTTTGGAACTCAAACTTCCATGTTTTGTGATTTTATTCGTCACTTCAAGAATTTGACCCTTAAGTTGGCAACTTGAGTTTTGATTGGGAACTATGATTTATATTTGAAGTTAGATATGTTAAATCCAAGATGTTTTTAAGGGTTTTGAGCCTTGATTTGCATGAAATTGAAGTTAGATTTTGAAAACTTAAGTTCCAAATTCAGAACAGATTTTCGGACTGAAATGAACCCAGACCGCACTTGCGGCCTGAGGCCCTGCATGTGCGGCCAAATCTCCACTGTTTTAATGTTCCTTCTGCTTTAATTGCACGTGCGGTGGAATTTCTGCAGGTGTGGCCAGGCCCTCTGCACACAGTCCTAGATTCGTTTTCTGTTCGTTTTTTTTACTTCCGGGCCTCCGTTTGTATGGTTTTCAAGCGTTTTTCATGTGCATTTGCATCTCATGAATCTAATGGAAAAAAATGAATGATAAAGGACGATCTAGTGACTAAGGATCAAGTTGACCAATTAGGTTATGCATTGATGACATAGCCAGATTGTATGTTGAACCATCGTGCTTAATGTGTCTGCGTAGGTCAAACGCCGCGTCCTAACCACATGTTTCAAGGAGCCAACTGTGAGTAACAATGTTGTAAAGATATGTTTAAATTATAATGATTTTCTGAATGTTATTCTTAAGTATTGTTTCTGAAACAATATGAATCACTGAATGAATGATTGTCCTATTTTATGAACTATATTCGTGGCATCCATAACTTACTGCTACTGTTTGCTGTTACTGTTAATGTTATAGAGATCTCTATCAATTCCACTTCTTGGAACTATTATTACTGTTTTGATGGCCATCAAATGACTATTCGGTCTTTATGACCTACTGTACTGTTCTGCTATTACATGTACCACGTATGACTGATATAAGTTTATTATATGAAATACTACTTTGTGAATTGCTTCACTATTGAAATTGACTGCTTTAAATGACTAAAAGGACATCATTCATAGCCTCTTTACACAATTGTTATTCACTGGACTCTAGCTCATTGTTTTATATATGTATGTAGGTGACCAAGTTTAGGATCGGACCTAATGGCGTCGACTTACCCTTTATTTTGTGAAGCCAACTGTTGTGCCTCACTTTGAGGTTCCTTTTAGACTAACTCCAAGGCTTTTCGGGTGGTGCTGAGGACACCCTTTTGTCATTGTGTTTATGTTATGGTTTGGCTTAAACCTTTTATTTTGACTAGGTTTTGTTAATGGGATTAAATTCCCTAAATTGTGTGAATCTTTTGTACATATACTTGAGATTGTACATAATCATATAGAATCTATGAAGTTGTTTTGTTTCATGTAAGTCCCACAGCTCATTGGACGATTTTACTTTAAGATTATTGGCTTCCGCAAGCCCCTATTACTGTTTACTGTTAAAGCAGGCCTTTGGTAATCTTGAATTACTGGCCGGTTACGTCTCTAATTCCGTGGGCCGGGGATTGGGTCGTGACATTCTTCGTGCGAGATGGATCGATCTTGGGTTTGCTTTCAAACCCAGAATTTTTTTTTCCATCCTATTAAGAAGAGATTGGAAATCGTAACAAAGATTTTGTTTTTTATTTTTGTTTTTAATCTATATTAATGTAGATTCAATTGCATTCAAATGAAGATAAAAAAAAGTGGGCTACAATATATACATTGTGAGAAGAAGATTCAATTAGAGTATTCAAAACTTTCAATTCCTGAAAACCATTCTATTTCCCCCCCCTTCCCCTTTCCCTTCCCCTTCCCCATTCCCTTTTTTTTCTTTGCTTGCTCTTGAGAAAATAAAAGATGGAAAAAAAAATTCTATAATGACGTCGTTTTGGCAGCATGGCAAGGAGCATTGCACGAAACCATGGTAGAGGATCCAGACTTTAGGTGATGTGTGTACAAAGGATATGAGTTAGGATATAATTGGAACATCAAGTGTGCTGAATGAGAAAAATAATCAAAAATCAAATTAATAAGTGTAGACTAAGAAATTTTGTACACTGAGATAAGTAGGTGTATGAAAATAGAGTTTTCCAATTATTACACTTCAAAATATGAATTTTTCAAAATTACCCTTTGAATTTTTTTAGGAACATCAATTGTCATAATTAATGAATTTAAAAGAAAGACAAAATAGGAAAGTTATGTTATTTTAGTCTTTAATTATTTAAAAGGGACTAATATTTTCAGACAATGAAAAATTGAACAAAGGATTAATATTTTAACACGAATGGAATATATTAGTAAGAAATACAAATTATTGTTTTAAATAATATTATTTTTGTCATTTTACCCTTATACTTTTGTTGGAAAAATTGCATTTTAATGCAAGTTTTCAAAAACAAAATAACAAATCAGTGGAAAAGTTTACCAATTTCAATAATTATAATTATAATTTTCTTTTATAAATTTATAAATATTTTATAAAAATATCATTGTTTTACAGTTTTACCTACTTTTCTATCTATACTTTTTCTACAACGGATTTAGCAGTCACTGCTGTGCAATTAAATGGATTGTTATGTAGTTAAATGGGCCCATTTCGGGATCTATTTGAATGATCCGAACTATTCACATTTTAGAGTACATCGAGTAGAACATACCTATAAAAAATCAAATTAATCAGATATTGTTAACCCTTTCATCCACTCACATTTGTATATATAAAAATAAATGATAATTGTGATTTAAAGTATTAAAATGAATACAAATATGAGTAAATGAAAGAGTTAACGATATCCGATTAATTTAATTTTTTTCAAATATATTTTATTTGATATATTTTAAAATATAAACGATTCAAATTATTAAAATAAACCTCAAAACGAGCCTATTCACTGCACAACAATGATTGCTACGAAGGGGCACAATAGTCACCCCATTCCTTTCGGAGCTCGCTAGGAAATGCGTCCGCGTTGATAAAGTCATATGTTGCCTACAACAATCGGTAGCGATGGGCAGTAGCAGGGGACAAGGGACACATGGATAATCAGGTGAATAAATAAATAAGTATGGATAATTAGGTAATTAAATAGATAAATAAGTACAAATATAA